GTCATTTTTGGGACTTGAGTAGCTTGATTATTTGATATCGCTACACGTTACTCTGGTGACCTGTATCGCTGCACGGTTACTCTGGTGCCCTGTGTCGCTGCGCGGTCGCTCTGGTGACCTGCGTCGCTGCGCGGTCGCTCTGGTGACCTGCGTCGCTGCGCGGTCGCTCTGGCGACCTGCGTCGCTGCGCGGTTCGGCCCTCTGGTGACCTGCGTCGCTGGCGGGTCGCTCTGGTGCCCCTGCGTCGCTGCGCGGTCGCTCTGGTGACCTGCGTCGCTGCGCGGTCGCTCGGGGAGACCTGCGTCGCTGCGGGGGTCGCTCTGGCGACCTGCGTCGCTGGCGCGGTCGCTCTGGCGACCTGCGTCGCTGGGCGGTCGCTCTGGCGACCTGCGTCGCGGGGCGTTCGCTCTGGCGACCTGCGTCGCTGGGCGGGTCGCTCTGGCGACCTGCGTCGCGGGGGCGGTCGCTCTGGCGACCTGCGTCGCTGGGCGGGGGTTCGCTCTGGCGACCTGCGTCGCTGGGGCGGGTCGCTCTGGCGACCTGCGTCGCTGGGCGGTCGCTCTGGCGACCTGCGTCGCTGGGCGGTCGCTCTGGCGACCTGCGTCGCTGGGCGGTCGCTCTGGCGACCTGCGTCGCTGGGCGGTCGCTCTGGCGCCCTTTGCGTCGCTGGGCGGTCGCTCCTGGCGACCTGCGTCGCTGGGCGGGTCGCTCTGGCGACCCTGCGTCGCTGGGCGGTCGCTCTGGCGACCTGCGTCGCTGGGGGGTCGCTCTGGCGACCTGCGTCGCTGGGGGGGTCGCTCTGGCGACCTGCGTCGCTGGGGGGGTTTTCGCTCTGGCGACCTGCGTCGCTGGGCGGTCGCTCTGGCACCTGCGTCGCTGGGCGGTCGCTCTGGCGACCTGCGTCGCTGGGCGGTCGCTCTGGCGACCTGCGTCGCTGGGCGGTCGCTCTGGCGACCTGCGTCGCTGGGCGGTCGCTCTGGCGACCTGCGTCGCTGGGCGGTCGCTCTGGCGACTGCGTCGCTGGGGTCGCTCTGGCGCCTGCGTCGCTGGGGGGGGTCGCTCTGGCGACCTGCGTCGCTGGGGGTCGCTCTGGCGACCGGGCCGTGGGCGGGGGGGCTCTGGCGACTTGCGTCGCTGGGCGGTCGCTCTGGCGACCTGCGTCGCTGGGCGGTCGCTCTGGTGGTGCACAGGCTGGTTACAGGGGGTTACAGCTAGGTTACACTAGGCTCATTAAGGCTGCTCGTAACCTTAACACCACCATAGTAGAATACTAATTTAAAATAGGGATTAAAATATTCTCATTGTTTATACTGAGAGAAATGCATCTCCCGGTGTATATATTTGGCTAACAAATGAAACGAAGCTCGTTAACTTATCACGAGCGTCGGCGAGGCTACTGGGTTACGAACGTCGGCGAGGCTACTGGGTTACGAGCGTTGGCGAGGCTACTGGGTTACGAGCGTTGGCGAGGCAAACTGGTTACGAGCGTTGGCGGGGCCCTACTGGGTTACGAGCGTTGGCGAGGCTACTGGGTTACGAGCGTTGGCGAGGCTACTGGGTTACGAGCGTTGGCGAGGCTACTGGGTTACGAGCGTTGGCGAGGCTACTGGGTTACGAGCGTCGGCGAGGCTACTGGGTTACGAGCGTCGGCGAGGCTACTGGGTTACGAGCGTCGGCGAGGCTACTGGGTTACAGCGTGGGCGAGGCTAACTGGGTTACGAGGTCGGCGAGGCTACTGGGTTCCCGAGCGTCGGTGAGGCTACTGGGTTAACGAGCGTCGGCGAGGCTCCCTGGGTTACGAGCGTCGGCGAGGCTACTGGGTTACGAGCGTCGGCGAGGCTACTGGGTTACGAGCGTCGGCGAGGCTACTGGGTTACGAGCGTCGGCGAGGCTACTGGGTTACGAGCGTCGGCGAGGCTACTGGGTTAAAAGCGTCGGCGGGGCTACGGGGTTACGGGGGCCGTCGGCGAGGCTACGGGTTACGAGCGTTCGGCGAGGCTACGGGTTACGAACGCTGGCGAGGCTACTGGGTTACGAGCGTCGGCGAGGCTACTGGGTTACGAGCGTCGGCGAGGCTACTGGGATGTAGTTTGCAATCCATGATAGTAGTGGTCCGGTGTGACGTGCGTTGATGTAGTAGTGATTAAATCTTGCAAGGTATTCTGTCGGTTATAAAGGCGAGACAGTTTGTGTATAACTCAGAAAAGTGTCAGTGACATTTCTCCTGGTACTGCTTGTAAGATCTTTGGAACTCCTGTTACGATCGTCGAGTCTTTACGTCTTTCAACGCAGCAGCTCATATTTCTCGGGCATAGAGCTCCATCCTGAGTGTAGGCTGGTCCAGACACTTCAAACAACCATTGCAAAAATCTACGAACCTTTTACATGCAACGTACATGCAACTCCTTTATCATGTTTCGGACAACTTTTATACTTTATACTTTACCATTGTCTTTCCACTGTTTAGGTTATCATTATCTAAAGTTTCTGAATTTTTCAATTTCCATCTTTGATATTAGCTGACATTTTTCCTGAAATTCCTTCATATCTGTTATGTATTAAATTCACTGTCGCGCTTTAGATCTATTCTGCTCAAATATCTCTTCTAACAAATCCCCGTATCTCTGTTGTTAGATTCTGCACTGGCTGTGAAAGAACCTCGGTCGTCCATCAGTCCCAACCTCGGTCACAACACTGGACTTCTCGTGAGTCCCGCTGTCTGGAGCGTCAAGATTCTTGGCCATACACAAAGGCTCGCTAGAATACAGAAAAACAAATCCCGACCCGTAAGTCAGTTCTAAGTCAAGAAGTACAAGCATTCTTAATATGACTCGCGGAGCTCGCCGCCTCGTCACTTCTTACCTTTATGAGTTTTTTCAGTTGGCTGTTGGATGATAGTTGGGACACCTCTGAAATCGACCTTGACTCTCAAGAGGAGCTAGAAGTCCAGCCTATATTCAACCAGATCAGCCGCGCACCTCGGGCGTCAGGTGTTCGGCCGCGCACTCGGGCATCTCGTGTCCAGCGGCGCACTCGGGGATCAGGTTGTTCAGCCGCGCACTCGGGCATCAGGTGTTCAGCCGCGCACTCGGGCATCAGGGGTTCAGCCGCGCACTCGGGCATCAGGTGTTCCCGCCTGACAGTCGGGATCAGGTGTTCAGCCGCGCACTCGGCATCAGGTGTTCGGCCGCGCACTCGGGCATCAGGTGTTCGGCCGCGCACTCGGGCATCAGGTGTTCGGCCGCACACTTTAGGCATCAGGTGTTCAGACGCACACTCAGGCATCAGGTGTTCAGACGCACACTCAGGCATCAGGTGTTCAGACGCACACTCAGGCATCAGGTGTTCAGACGCACACTCGGGCATCAGGTGTCCAGCCGCACACTCAGGCATCAGGTGTCCAGCCGCACACTCAGGCATCAGGTGTCCAGCCGCACACTCAGGCATCAGGTGTCCAGCCGCACACTCAGGCATCAGGTGTTCGGACGCACACTCGGGCATCAGGTGTCCAGCCGCACACTCAGGCATCAGGTGTTCGGACGCACACTTGGGCATCAGGTTTCCAGCCTGACAATCAGGCATCAGGTGTTCAGCCGCGCACTCAGGCATCGGGCGTCCAGCCTGACACTCAGGCATCAGGTGTCCAGACGCACACTCAGGCATCAGGTGTCCAGACGCACACTCAGGCATCAGGTGTCCAGACGAACCACTCAGGCATCAGGTGTCCAGACGAAACACTCAGGCATCAGGTGTCCAGACGCACACTCAGGCATCAGGTGTCCAGACGCACACTCAGGCATCAGGTGTCCAGACGCACACTCAGGCATCAGGTGTCCAGACGCACACTCGGGCATCAGGTGTCCAGACGCACACTCGGGCATCAGGTGTTCAGACGCACACTCGGGCATCAGGTGTACAGACGCACACTCAGGCATCAGGTGTCCAGACGCACACTCGGGCATCAGGTGTTCAGACGCACACTCAGGCATCAGGTGTCGAGCCTCACACTCAGACATCAGGTGTCGAGCCTCACACTCGGGCATCAGGTGTCGAGCCTCGCACAAGTCAGAATACGCTCAACCATCGTGTACCTCAAGAGGTCTTGCAACAGGGGGCCATGATCAATATGCAATTACCAGTCCACCAAACTTCCAACAATTTAACTTTTGGTATCTACCCAACTGACCATACATCCCCGATGGATGCATCTCATGCTGGAGGAGTTATACGGTTGCGCCAGAGGCGTAGTGCACGATTGGCAGAAGCCAGCTATGTCCTGAGGTAAGTGTTCGTAACGTTGCAAATGACACTTGCTTATAATGGCCTTAATTTATTAGTGACATGAGACAGGGGATTTGCAAAGGAAAATCACCCCTTGTGGGTCCTTACCCACAAGGGGTGATGGGTGAATCGGAATAGGTCGAGAACAGTGCAGGGAGAGGAATGGCTTTAATGAAAGAAAAAGAACCGGTGTTAGACCCAGCAGTAAAGGTACTGCGTAGCATCTGCAGTAAATGACTAGTCGGGTTCAGGAGAAAAGGGTCGGACGACTTGGCCGACCCAAACCGTAGACTAGGCGCCTCGGGACACAACAGTCAATAGTTATTTCTGTGGCAAGTATGGGGAAAATATAATACCAAAGTGGTTGTAAAGAAAAATAGGACATTGGTAAAGATTCACACCTGCAATGGGCAGGAAGAGTGGCTTTTGTATAAGGCAAGTATAACGGTATAGGAGCAAGATTGTAAAGAGACTGGGAAAGATTTAGAGGACTGTTAGAGCGTTTAATAGTGTCATCGTGGAAGGCAGTGCAAGTCTCAATCAAGTCTGTTAAACTGCCTGACGCTCAGCGTTGTACCAATGTTATACCAATCATGAGGTGGAAGTGACATCCGCCACCCAACGCAACGACAGATTCTGGATTTGCTGCAGCTTTAGAACGAGTAGTGTGTGAGTGTGAGTGTGTGAGAGAGAGAGATAAAGGATCTAATGAGAGTAGTATACAGGCAGTTTGGTGGAGGTATGTGAACCTTTGAGTTTGTATAGGCAAGTGAGAACAGCATTCGCCACACCACCCGTTAGTGGCAGTGTGTGCGTGCTAGCATATCCGTAACTTTTTCAAGGTTGACACCATGAAGGGCGGTGGTGGAAGTTGGTGGTATTGGTGTTTGTGACCACAATAAAGGAACATTGTCAGTATTCATGGTCCCAGATTATTCAACATTGTACTAGAAGATATCAGAAACACTTCTGGGACAAATGTAGAAGTCAAAACACTGGACAAGTATCTCCACCAGATGCCAGATCAACCAAGCTGTGATGCATATGTGGGGCTGTAGGCCGCCAACAGCAACAGCCTGGTTGGCCATATAAGCACGAAACGAGATTGGCCCATGGCCGGGCTCCGCTAGCAGAAAAACATCCGGAACTCATCAAAGGCAATATAGCAGTTCAGGTTGTTGCGGTGAAGGTACTGACTATATCAGTGAAGCTGCATCTCTACTGAATAAAAGTATAACCAGACTCTGGTATCCCAACATCTATAAAGTCGTGTTTATAATTTAACATCGTATAATTATGGCCGACTGCTCATTTCCTATTTATCTTAATTATACTGAACTAAAATATGGGGCAAACCAGTGGCGTAATTGCGGGCCGCCCCGGGTGACATCATTTAGGGGGTTTACCTGGAGTTTACCTGGAGAGAGTTCCGGGGGTCAACGCCCCCGCGGCCCGGTCTGTGACCAGGCCTCCTTAGGTCAGTGTCCCAGGATGCGACCCACACCAGTCGACTAACACCCAGGTACCCATTTTACTGATGGGGAACATAGACAACAGGTGGAAAGAAACACGTCCAATGTTTCTACTCTGGCTGGGAATCGAACCCAGGCCCTCACCGTGTGAAGCGAGAGCGTTAACCACCAGGCCACCAGATTGCGTGCAGCCATCAGTAACAACCTGGTTGATCAGGTGTTGATGCACCACGAGACCTGGTCACAGACCGGGCCGCGGGGGCGTTGACCCCCGGAACTTTCTTCAGGCAAACTCCAGGTGGCACTAATGCCCAGAACAGTGCTCTAGCAACATAAGAGAAAAATCCTTCGCTTCTATATAGCCTATTATATGATTACAGAGTACAAATAGGCCTATTTAGCGAAAATCATTGATTTTGAAGTGATAGATGATTTTGCAGGATAGAAAGCAAGGAAATGCAAGATCTGTACTCAAGGTCAAATCAGAACTAGTTTCTGATATTGCAATGTAGGATCTGTTGCCTGTACTCAGTCGTACTTGAGTTTATGTCCTCGATATTACTGATTATTTTATCATTAATAAAGTTGAGAAGTATTCTCCTGTTAAGTTTATGGCCCTTAAACGTTCTCATTGTTAAGCATTAGTCACTGGTCATGCAGAGGTGACGTAACTGGTCATGCAGAAGTGACGTAACTGGTCATGCAGAAGTGACGTAACTGGTCATGCAGAAGTGACGTAACTGGTCATGCAGTAGTGACGTAACTGGTCATGCAGTAGTGACGTAACTGGTCATGCAGTGGTGACGTAACTGGTCATGCAGTGGTGACGTAACTGGTCATGCAGTGGTGACGTAACTGGTCATGCAGTGGTGACGTAACTGGTCATGCAGTGGTGACGTAACTGGTCATGCAGTAGTGACGTAACTGGAGCTTACTCCCCCCATACCCCCGCCCTTGGGTTTCATTGGGTTAGTTTAATATGTTTATTATGCACCACATACCCATCCTGTGGGCGGTAGTCAAAAGATGACAGAGGTACATAATGGGTCCAGGGATTGGACTCCAAAGTTTTGATAGCTGAGCAAGTTACGAAGGTAATGAACTAGATCTGGTCATAATCATGACCAAGTTACAAAGGTAATGAATGATTTTTGTAGATGAATGGCTCAGAGAACCGACATGTTGATAAATTAGACACATGTGCAACTCTTTTTGATGTTCAACTCTTGGGTATCTTTATTGAGGAAACGTTTCGCCACACAGTGGCTTCATCAGTCCATACAAAGGAGAATCTTGAAGAACAGGAGGAGAATGAGGTAATCAGTCCCTCAACCTTGAGTCGATGTGGTCAGTCCATCAAGGTTGAGGGACTGATTACCTCATTCTCCTCCTGTTCTTCAAGATTCTCCTTTGTATGGACTGATGAAGCCACTGTGTGGCGAAACGTTTCCTCAATAAAGATACCCAAGAGTTGAACATCAAAAAGAGTTGCACATGTGCGTAATGAATGATAAACACGTTATGACATGATTACAATCATAGACAAATTACAGAGTAATGAGCAGTTAACAAACATAGCAGGGAATTCATCCATTGCCCCAACAACAGATGTTGCTAGGGTGACACCGGTGATGCCGCTCCGGGTGACACAACCCTAGCGACGTCACTGCGTGCAAACGTCTAAGTGATGTTCATAATATACATAGTTTAAGAGAACTAAATAATTAGGTATAAATATGACCGGCCTCGTATGGCCCAGTTGGCCTAATTGTGTTTTTATATTTTTTTCCCCTTTCCACAGGCAAAAATAGTTACTGCTGGGAATGAGGTTTAAGAAAGGATAAAGACGCAGTTATTTAAGAAGTGTAATGCATCTTTAACTGCTGTTCCACGTATCATCAGATCATCACGTCTGTCTTAAACGTCCAAGGATATTCCTACAGAATGTCACTCAGGACTGCTTAAAATTATTTACATTTGAATCCCCCCCCTAACCTCCCCTGTTAGAGCCCCCCCACCCGCCGGAGAAGCCTCCACACCTCTAAATTAATATTGTATTTATGACGGTTTTTACTTGAAGCAAATCGTAATTTTTTAAGGAAATTTTAAAGCACATTTAATGTTTTAGAGTCTATATATTAAAATTATATTTTTTAATGCCAGATTAGTGCACGAAAGCACATTGTTTATTGATGTTATACATGGTACTTAGACCCGTCTACCTTATATCTCAACTCCGCCATGACTTTTAGAACTCCCCGTAAATAAAATTGATACAGAAGTTTTATTTAAAAAAGAGGCAACCTATTGTTAATATGTTGGTATATAATACCGACAATTTAGAAATTTGTGCAACAGTTACTTATCCTCATGCTCTTGCGCCTGGCAAGGTGAAGAGGCTTTGGTATGAGGAACTGGTTCCCTGTCTTCTTCCCCCGACCGAACCTAATTACCCTCCCCCAGTTGACCCCTCCCCCTGCCCGACCCTCCTTTCCCCAAACCCTCATTCTTCGTCCGGGCTTTGGGGGGGGGGGGGGGGCGCCTGTGATGTCTTTCAAAAGACTAGTATGTGTCTGAGGCTGTCAGATCTGGGAGGTGTTACCTCTTGGTATGGTGAAGAGGGGTCTTTTTCGGGGGAATAGGGTTTTTGGTCTCCTTCCTCAGACCGAACCTAACTACCCCCAATCCCCCCTTCCCAATCCCATTCCCCCCTCCCCCCCATCTCATGTCTCCCTTTTCCCCTTTCCGTTTGTAGCCTCTGGGGCCTCCCCTCTGGCATTACTGTTTTTTTGGTAAGAAGTGTGCTGGGGGGGGGGTTTATCCCACTCCATGGGTCCCCAAGAGCTGTGTAGTTTGCCATGGAATCGGGATCATCGGGAGGTGCCTCCCCCCCTTCCGGGATCACGGGAGGAGAACGGGGTTCGTGCGGTGATCCCAGGTGAAACCAATTTCCAAATTGTAGTTTCTATCCAGTTCACAGGTACGGCTCTCAATTTTTGCTGGGTACGGTGATTATACAGTGTCCATTGACCGTTGACCCCCGGGGATTCCGGGGTTTAACGGCTTATCTTCCCCCCCTGCTTCAGGGGGACAAGTTTTGGAACTTCAAGCATTTCCCCCAAAAATTGAGGGTTTTATTGCAGCTGGCGTGCCGTGAAGGTTTTCGGTTTTGTGGGGACATATTTTTGGGGGCAATTAGCTTTTTAGGACCTTTCCAAATTTTTAAAAATGGGGCGAAGGCGTTTCCCCCGTAAAAAATCGCCACAAAAACCCTTTTTCTGTCGTGAATCCTCCCCATTTAACGTGGGGCCCCGGGCCCATGGGGGCTGTAAAAGGGGGCCCACACCCCCAAAATGTCAAAATGCGGGCTTTGGGGCATCCTGCTAAATAGCAGGGGCGGCGGCGAGTGCCCGTCTGCAGTGCATGGATAAACCGTAATCTTGCAGTCCCCCCCCCCCTTTTTTTTTTTCCCCCGGGTGTCATCTATCTTTAAAAATAGAAAATTTGTGTCTTAAGAGAGCAAACCTTATGCAAGTTCCTCTTTGGCTCCACCCTTCGGGAAATCTTCCCCGTGTTGCTATTTCGAGTACTAGGAGACTTTTAAACTTGACGGGCTCCCCTCCCCCACCCGCTCCTCTGGGGTTTATGTCTCTTGATCAGCCCATCTCTAATTCTTTTGCGGTTTTCCCCTGAAAACCCCCCCCCTCCTTACTTCCTCCTACTTTTATTTTTTAACTCGCCGCTAGTTTTTTCAGCGAAGGGTTCTTCGGCCCGCCACCTGCGATGTTAACCTTCTCCTAACCCCAATCTCTTTGCATTCCTCCATGCTTTAAAATTTTCCCAAACACTTTTTTTTCGGCCTCGGGGCCCCATTTAAAACCCCCCCCTTTCTCCTCACAAGGGGGGGTTCACCATCCCCCCCTTTTGTATTCCTCTTTTTTTTCCCCCCCTCCAGACTTTTTTTTCCGTCCCCCTTTCAGCTCCCTTTCCCCTCCCTTCCCCCACAGGGCCTCTTTCTGTCTTGCCGGCACATTTTCCCAGGGTTTATACTCCCCCCCCTCTTTTTTTTCCCTCCATAGTCTTCCCCAAATTTTATTTTTCCCACCTCACCGTCTTTAAAACAGGTATCAGCATCTTCCTTGTCCCTGAATGCTTTTATCATCTCCAAAATATACTGCAGAGACGAAACCCCCTCCATGGGCACCCGGGCCTATTTTTCCCCTTTTTATTTTTTTACAAACCCTT